CCAAACCATTCTAAAATAGTTTATTCATATTATTCCATGATCCCAAACCATAATAAAAGGTTTATTTTTCATATTATTCCATGATCCCAAACCATTCTAAAATAGTTTATTCATATTATTCCATGATCCCAAACCATAATAAAAGGTTTATTTTTCATATTATTACATGATCCCAAACCATACTTTAAGGTTTATTTTTCATATTATTCCATGATCCCAAACCATCCTAAAAGGTTTATTTTTCATATTATTACATGATCCCAAACCATACTTTAAGGTTTATTTTTCATATTATTCCATGATCCCAAACCATACTAAAAGGTTTATTTTTCATATTATTCCATGATCCCAAACCATACTAAAAGGTTTATTTTTCATATTATTCCATGATCCCAAACCATACTAAAAGGTTTATTTTTCATATTATTCCATGATCCCAAACCATACTAAAAGGTTTATTTTTCATATTATTCCATGATCCCAAACCATATAAAAGGTTTATTTTTCATATTATTCCATGATCCCAAACCATACTAAAAGGTTTATTTTTCATATTATTCCATGATCCCAAACCATACTAAAAGGTTTATTTTTCATATTATTCCATGATCCCAAACCATACTAAAAGGTTTACTTAGTATCCCACAATCACAAATCATGCTACAGTAGATTTGTTTTTCTTTAACTTTTCCACGCTTAACGTGTTAATTAATAATTCCCTTTTCAAGCCTTTCTTCATCGTTCTCTCTTCTGCTCAGTTGACTTTTCTGAGCGTTAAGGCGTTGAGTTTGTTTGTTTATTCACCCGGTTGCACAAGTATTTCAAGCAGATCTGTGTAAAGTATGAAAAACTTATTGGGGTGTTTATTGAAGTCTCCTCAGCCGTTGTCGTCGTTTCGCTTTGAAGCTATCCAGCTTTCTAGTTTTTTATTGCAAAATAAATGTTGCCCTCTTTATGCTTGAAATGCGGATATAAAGCATTTACCTTTTTTTTATTATTTTCTTGCCGTTGCTGTTTTAGTGAGAATGTTTGTTACTAGAAACAAACGACCAAATTTGTTATTTTTTTTAACTGGACACTCAACGTTTCGCTTTACAGCTTCTTGTTTGTTTTGAAGTTTGCGCAAAGCTACACGAGGGCTATCTGCGCTAGCCGTTCCTAATTTAACAGTGTAAGACTAGTGGGAAGACAGCTAGTCATCACCACCCACCGCCAACTCTTGGGCTACTCTTTTAACAACAAATAGTGGGATTGACCGTCACATTATAATGTCCTCACGGCTGAAATGGCGAGCATGTTTGGTGCGACGGGGACTCGATCCAGCAGATTGCGAGTCGAGTGCCCTAACCACCTGGCCATGCCGGGCCCTTCACAGCTTCTTCAGGAGCGGCTTTTGTTTTAGTGTAAAGCGAAACGTTGAGTGTCCAAGTAAAGAAAAAATAACGAATCTGATGTTATAAGGTCGCTTACTTTCAGTATTAACGTACCATTTATACACCAATATGCACTACAGAAATTAATTATTATGGTTACAAGATTTCCAATGTGGGACATTGTTTTTCTATGCAAAGTGACAGCTTGAAACAGTTTAGATTTAAAAAGAAAAAAGTTTATCTAGTTGAAAATGATAATAAATAAAATAGGTGCCTAAGAAAAATGCTGCTTCTTTGTTTTTTTTTACGTTTGGTTTTTTTTCGCGGTTGGGCAGGTCTTCAAGTCGCAGTGACAAGTCGCGGCTGCCCAGTGACAGATTAGGTTAAGAAAACGTAGCAGAGAGAGAGGGAGGGAACACTGTACCGTGTGATCTGTCTTTGTTCAAGTGATTCTCCAAGTAAAATTTAAAGGAACCGTGTTTAATGACAAACTGTACATATCAAACTTACATCAAGGTAATATCGTATAGAAAAAGCGAGACATTTCAACACGGCATGGCCTGGTGGTTAGGGCCCTCGGTTCGCAATCTGCGTTTGAATCTCATCACCAAACATGCTCGCTCTTTCAGCCGTGAGGACGTTATAAATAATGGTCAATACCATTGCTCGTTTGGTAAAAAAAGTAGCCCAAGAGTTGGCGGTGGGTGGTGTTGACTAGTTGCATTTCCTCTAGTCTATCACTGCTAAATTAGGGACGGCTAATGCAGTTAGCCCTCTTGTAAGGACGAAAGAAATAAGGCTAAAAAATGGGACGTGTGGGTAACCCTAGTCAATATCCGCCAGTTAAAATATATGACAAAAACAATTCTGGCTAGCAGGCACATGTTCCAACCAGGACCTGTAACGGACGTTGTATACGTACGAGTTTCGGTCCAC